ATAAATATCCAAAGAGTTCTTTGGCTCGAGTTGAGGATGGAAGGTGATGCTCCAGCGAAATACATGTTTCAAGTGACAGTATGAGAAAGAGGATGTAGTGCAAGATCATCAATTCGATAGAATATCAATTTAAAGAAATATTGATTACATTTGAAATACGAAATATTAGAAGGCGTAAGTGAAGTAGAAACTTTCGAATTACGATTGCGTCAGGGTGAAAAGGTTTTTTTGTGGTTTACCTTTAACATAAGCCATATAAAAGTAAATTGTTTTCAAAATTAATAATAATTTTTTTTTAAAAAAATTAAATTCATATACTTATTAATTCGTACAAACTCTTAGAAGTTATTTGTTTAATTATTAAAATTATTGTGCTATAAACAGTGTTGTTAAAAAATTTTTTAATATAATTTTAGTGTTTAATTATGCCATATTAACAATATGCATTAATTTACATGTGAAATTGAAACTTTGTGATGACAAAATAAATGCTTTAAAATAAGAACATAAAATGTAAAATTAATTTTTTATTGTTCACATTTAGTAATATTAAATTAGCAATTTTTCCATTCCAGACAACGTGTATTTACAAATAAATTTAGTAAAACAAATTGCAAAATATAAATATTCATTGTAGGTTAACACTTAAATTTTCTCGTAATCAGAACTTTGCATACAAAAGTTCAACATAAACACGAAATCCGAACTCTAAAATTGAAAATTAACAATTTTAAACTATTTTTAGTATTAATTTCAGATCTCAATTGTTTTATTTATAGAATTATGTTGTAATTTTCATTAAGATTTTACGGCTTTGTTGTGAGATACTTGACAACTTATCATTAACATTTGCGTACTTCAACTGCGGAGTATTTAAAATTTTCAAAATTAGTGCTCAGCAGTATTTGCACTTGTGATTCAGAAGATTGCAGTCAATTTGCATGTTTTTGCAATTACATTATTAACTGCAGTCGGTGCTAAACTGGCTGACCTTGTAATTTATAACAAACCCGTTTTAATTTTACTAAACTTTACTTTGATTCGTTTGTTAGAAGCCGCAGATACACGTGACAAGTAACTAATTAATTACATTTTAAAGCATTTCCTAGAAATATGTTAGGCCACACCAAACACTTAGCTTTTGTTATTTACACATTTTCAGAATTGATTTAAATTCAATTAAAATAGTTGTTTAAATCATATGGACAATTAAATGCCCTATAGCACATATAAAGTGTTTATATTTATGATTAACGCATTTTCAAAATTAATTCGCTAATTGTATAGCAATTAGTAGCAATACCAACACGAAAATGTTTTAGATAATTGTGTCAAAACAACCTAACTGTCTACTAATTTAATTCAATTAGTTGAATGCCGTATCGAAAAAATTCCATTTTCAAAATTAACTCGCTAATTGTATAGCAATTAGTAGCGATACGGATGCGAAGATGTTTTAGATAATTATATTGATTATACTGACGATCAAATTTGAAAGAAAAACAAAAAAATTATAAAAAAAAAAAGTAATATATAGGCCATGTGCGAATTTTAGTAAATTGAGGTAAAGTAAATTGAAATTTCATAGGGATTTTCTGCATTGCACTTATGTAAATTTATTGCATTTATTTATAATTTTTGGTTAAAAGTTTTCAAATTTTTTTATTTATTTATTAAACCTCTTATAAAATTTTCACAATGGTAACACCTAATTTATATAATTTTTATCTAATTTGCCCTACAATTCAATTTACAAATTCTGGTAAATACCAACATTCAGTGCAATATCGATATAATTTACTATTTCCCTCAATTTATTATCAATTTACTCGAACTCGCACACGGCCATAGTATCTTTTCTAAAGCTGGGTCTATTATATATAGTAAATTGTTAATAAACTTTTAATAATTGAATTTTACTGAATTTATTCATTAACTTCAAATTGTCTGCCAGGTATTGTCTGCCTAATTTATATTGTGCTAATTTAGTTACTATAGTCTAAACACTTAATTTTAAATGCACAAGTATAGTTGGGTTTAATTAATGTGAGCTGTAAACACAGCTTTACAAGTTAGCAGGTTGTTACGAGCAAAGTAATTAAAAAACACAGTGTAAACACATAATTTTAAGTGTATAAGTGTCGTTGAAGTTTGTAAATGTGAAGTGTAAACATAGCTTTACAAGTTATTAGGTTGTTGCGAGAAAAGTAATTAAAAAAGAAATGATATTATTTTAAATGACTTTCTTTGAGTTAGTGAAAGTAGGATATAGTGGGAAAAAGTTTTAATAGTATGAAAAAGAAACCTACTGACATTTAAGTTAATAGCTACAAGGCTAATAGGTAATAGCTTTAGTAATTTTTACATTAGTAATTGTTAATTTGATTTATTTTGCATTTCAAGTTGATTGTGTACTTAACATACTGTTCAATTACGGATATAGAGTGAGTGTTTGCTGATATTTTCAGGTTTATTGATGATATGTATTTAACTACCTACTTGCATATTTGCACTGAGATGAAAATTTTTGCTAATTACGTATTTGAAAAATTGCAACGCAAAAATATATTGCTCGTTAATATTTTTTGTTTACAATAACAGATAATAGTAAACTATATAATATACACATAGTAGATATACTTAGTAAGGCAGCTAAGAAGTTGTTAAATTGTATTGCAATCACATCTTTTAGCATTAATTAATAGAAAATATAAGAAAAAAATATTTACAATTGATTGATAAGTTAATATTGTTGTTTTTAATAAAATTATTGCAATTATTTTTTAAATAAAAATGCAATGAATATTGTGTGCTATATTAATCGTGGTCTATTTAGTCAGTTTTTGGACCATTTTTCTGTGAAAAATTTATGAGATATGAGATAAAATTCAGTTATATTTATAATGTATTGTATAAAAAATTTGAAATAAATTTATTCTGAAAAGAGTGATTCATTTCGATAGAACTTTAGTTTATAGCTTCATTAATGCTACTTGAAAATTATATATATAATATGCATTTCGCATTATTGAGCAAAAATATATAACAATTATAATTGTTTATTTATTTACTTTTAAAAAGGTTAAATTGAAATTGTAAAATAAAACTTATATATGAAATTGTAAGAATTTTATTTAATAAACAATAATCATTTCAGTATATAACAGAAATAAAAGCTATTAAAGAATATATTTGAGATACAAACTTAGACACTGAACAGCGTTCAGTTTTTTCACAAAAAAGTTTATAAAAACTTTCTTATTTCAAAGTTATATAAAATATATAATACCAACTTTAATATATAACTGTCTCTAAAGATTTATATATAGGAAGGAAGAATTGACACTATTAGTTTATTGTAAACGACTACTAAACAATATTTAAAAACAAAAACAAAATTTATATTTTTCAGTATAAAATATTTATTACTATTTTCGGATATAAGAAGCTATTAAACATTCGAGTCATGTAGAATATGTCATATATGCAATTAAATAAGAAATATTTACAACCATTTTCATGAAAAAAGTGAAACTTAGTAAAACTACTTTTATAAACATTATTTTAGATTAAATGTAATACTCGATTAACATATAAATATATAATAGCACAATGTTTGTTACATGAAAACGTAAAATATGCAAATTATTATTTATTATTATTTACACATTGCTTTATCTTTAAGTTAGTTTCTGAAAAACAACTGTTAAGTTTACATATTGTAGTAACTAATTTAATATCATTATATGAATCGAAACTTTTCTATCTCTCAGCGATGCCACCCACCACCACCTCCATATCCACCATGACCACCTGCTGTACCACCTGCACCACCAGCACCACCCCCTCCACCTGCACCTCCACCACCCGCACCACCAGCGCCATATCCGTAACCACCCGATGCACCCGGATGTCCAGCAGCACCACCGGCTCCTCCTAATCCACCATAACCACCACGACCCCCTGCAGCACCACCAGCGCCTCCCGCACCACCACCACCACCAGCGCCCCCACCACCGGCACCACCAGCACCAGACCATTGCCCACCACCTCCGCCGCCGTAACCGCCATAATTACCAGACAAAGCATTAGGTTCACTAGCTGGCCAACCGTAACTGCCCGGTGAGCCAGGTTGTCCAGGAGCTCCGTTTAACCCACCAGCTCCACCCCAACCACCAGCTACACCGCCACTTCCTCCCCATCCTCCTTCATTTCCAATTTGGCTACCATAATTACCGCCACCATGACCACTCTGACTGCCGTATTTACCACCGCCTGATTGTCCAGGGGAGCCGTAATTTGCTCCATCTCCTCCTTGGCCACCATAACTACCACCACCATGTCCACCTTGGCCTCCATATCCACCAGGCTGCCCCGGTTGCCCAGGTTGTCCAGGACTACCATTACCGCCTACATATTCACTATGACTGCCAATACCATACCCGCCAGGTTGACCTGGCTCACCAGCACTACCACCAGCTCCTCCCCAACCAGCATTCCATCCTCCTCCAGCTCCTCCATTGCCACTCCAACCACCAACACCACCTGGTGCGCCAGGTTGTCCTGGTAAACCATCAATGCCACCATATCCACCTTGGCCTCCATAACTACCATCACCATGACCACCCTGACCGCCATACTCTCCTCCTCCTGGTTGCCCTGGTTGTCCAGGGGAGCCATAATTGCCGCCATCTCCTCCTCTACCACCATAATCACCACCACCACCACCATGTCCACCTCGACCTCCATATCCACCAGGCTGCCCCGGTTGACCAGGACTACCATCACCGCCGCCATATTCATTATGACCACCAATACCATACCCGCCAGGTTGACCTGGTTGTCCTGGCTCACCAGCACTACCACCATCTCCACCCCTACCACCATAACCACCACCACCACCACCATGTCCACCTTGACCTCCATATCCACCAGGCTGACCTGGTTGCCCAGGTTGTCCTGGACTTCCACCACTTCCACTACCATAACTTGGCGAACGTCTGTATATTGTATGCACAGGTGGTCCAACCGGTTCTTTTAATGGCAAGTCACTACAGCCATTATCCAATACACACAAATCATCATTATCACTTGCTGTAATTATAAAAACAAAATCAAGATATTTCTGTTCACAGTTTTCATTTAGATTTCAACGTAAAAGTTCATACCAGTGCAAACTATAGCATTGATGAGTAACACAATAATCGACACAATCTGAAATTGTTTCATTTTTCAGTACAAACGGTGAAATCTATTCACTGTGAAATACAATTGACAAATAATCTATGAGCGTTTTCAGCTAAGGTTTTTATTAGATGATGTATACCCAACCGTAACTAAATGATTGGAAGAGTATTTTCCCCAGAATATTGCCGTAAACATTGCTGAACTAATCACAAAGTATTTAAGACGCGCTGCGAACTCGTATCTATCTTATATGTCTATAATTGATGGTTCCGTACGAACCATTAACCAAACAGAAATTATATATAGAAATAAAATAATTAAAATTATTAAATAGCTATAATTTTACTTTGGAATTTTGTTATTAAAAAGCTTTTTTATATAAAATGCTTTTTAAAAATAAAAAAGCACTACTACTAACTAAACAATCTATTGTAGAGAAGCAATTCAATTGAGTAAGGCAGCATTTTGTATGCTCGACGAAACAAAATAATGGATTATAAACTTTGAAAGAACACTGAAAAAGGCGAAGACTGTGGTGTCAATTGAAATGGTCACTATGCCACAACTATTCTTTTTTCGGGAGGACTGCGTATGAGACGTTTCTGATTAACTACAAAAGCGCAGCATATTTAGCAATAGTGGTGGATATCGTTAGTACATGGAAGATGGATAAAAGTTTTATCTACAGGTATATATAACAGATAACAGAGCAGATAAAACTTTGGTTCACAGTTTGATCGTTGTATGGCAAAATGTATGATTTGCATTGTAAAGTGATGGATTAGCTAGATTATTTATCCGATTTGGTTCCCAGTGATTCTTTTTCGGTTTAAATATTGGCTTAGAGAACAGAGAGAATTCTCTTCAAATAAAAGGGCGATATCCACTAAAAATAGGTACCATAATTACCTTGACGTAATGCCAGCGGTATACACAAGACCGTTAGACAGTAATTTTTCTAGAAGCTTTTGAAGTTCTGTTATAGATTAATATATATATCATGTATATATAGTATATTTATAGTAAATATTTTGTTATACTACATTATTTTGCTATATATTTATTCTAAACTTAGAGGAAACCTAGAGAGGAATGAAGTCATTGAAGTCGAAAGAGAGGAATGAAGTTATTGTAGTCGCCTCCTCCTTTGCTAGACCAATCTCCAAATCTTTAATATTATTCCTAAATGACACGAAGAATTCTGTTTCTGATGAAGTTTTCCAGTTTCTAACGTTTGATGTTGAATGCTCACTAAATTTCGTTAGACTAGTGGGAGTTTCTATAAATAATAATTAATTTAAACCTAATTTAAATAAAAATTTCATATTGCAGTTTACCCAGGCAAACAGCAACTACACTCAACACAAGGAAAAAAATAAATAAAATCTTCATATTTCTAACAACTTAACCGTTTCCTTATCTTTAGATTATAATTATAAAATGATGTACATTTATTGGTTATTGGTTTTATTTATAGTTGCTGTTAAGATCATTGATTACAAAATCAGGTTTATATTCAAGTTTATATAAGCAATTTTATTCCAGTATTGTTCATTGTATTGTAAGTTTAATAAATTTATAAAAATTTTTTAAGAAGTTAAAAATACCAGTATTATACAAATGGAAGATGTTTCTTTACTAAGTGAAAAACCCACGTTGATTTCTTGGTTCAAAAAAAACATAAAATGTCAACATGTTCAAAAATCCATTATATTCTTTCAATGTCAGCAAATAAAGATGTTAGCAAAGTCGTCAAAGTGTTATTTGACTCCGCTTGACTAATTTTTATAAGGATACTTAAAATCGTTGGTTTATACCGTCAAGCTTCGTTTTTTTGCTAACATTGACTAATATTATTTATTTTTATATGTTTGATTTCAATTTAAAATTCTTCACGTATAAAAAGCTACAATAAAAGACTCAGATTAGTATTATTTTTTATATAATGAACATTGGAACATAATAAAGTTAGTTTTAATTAACTTGAATGCTTACTACTGTGGTTTGCGTATGATAATCTAATATATATATGGTAGGACTTTGGGACAGCGCACTGTCCAACAAGTGGCCCCACTGAGGTAAAGGATTAGTCGAAGTAGACCACGAAACGACTTAGGTTCTTTTTCGTCCTTCGATTCTCGGATGTCGTTATTGAGTTAAAGCTGGTGTGTCTTCCGTTCTACATAACTACATCTTTTGTTAATGCAAGCAGCTCACTTAGCTTGAGGTTTCCTGCCAAGTCATCACCAACCCAATGGGGATCTAAGACAATCTTCCTCCTACTTGCCAGTGCTGGACATTGGCACAATATATGCACCGCTGTCTCCTTTGCTTCTAGACATAGTCTGCAAGGGTCTTCCTCAGCAAGAGTTATCTTTTTGAGGTGATACTTGAAGTTGCCATGTCCAGTAATTAGTGACGTCAGCCAGCTTAGAGTGCTCCGCGAATAACTAAGCACTTTTATCGCTTCTCTGGCCATTTTCTCCATCTATTAAGATGAAGTGAGATTATCCACTTATAGACATAGGCTGCCGATGATAATCTAATAAAAGTAGAAAAATCACAATATTGTAGTAATATTTCATCCAGTTGAAACACAGGTGAAAGTACTAAACAAACTAATAAAATAGAACAATAGCTGTCTAGATTTGGTTCCACAAACAGTTGCCTCTATTAATGATGTATCATAAATTCCGTTCCATGTACATAGAGCTTAATTGACGCTACATTAAACACGTTACTTAATAAGTACGAAAAAGGACATATACACCAAAAGTGCTTCAAAGTCTTAATTTGGTATTTTTCCTATGTTAAAATTATAGGATTTTTTAGTTGTTTGGTCCATAGGTGATATTTATTTTAATTTGCAAATGTCAGATTTGCACAGAGATAGCCTTCTAGGGATATTTTTGTTCTATAATTTGGGTTCTTCAGAAAACAATAAAAAAATATATTATATACGGGGCTGATTTTTAAAATAATCAAAAGGTATTATAAATACGATTTATAAGTATAAGGGTAAGAACACGATTTAAACCATTCGAATGCCAGCTTCTCCATGAACCGTAACGGTTGTCTAAGTAAATTTTTTTTCGGATGGACATACAATATTCCGGAAAATATTAAATATGAACTTGCTTCCATTAACCATCCTTAAATCACTACCCCAAAGAATTCTTTACAGCAAACAAACTTTACAGCACCCGAAAAGATAATTGTTCTTGTAGAAGAATATTTTACAGGTTTACGCTAAAAATACCACATATGATTTATAAATTGGAGAGTAATTGAAATGGGTATGTTGTAAAATAGAGTTATTTTTAAAACCAGAAATCTTTAATAATTTATTAAGTATATGATTCATAAAAAATATGAAGACATTTTATTCTTTTGACTTTATTATTTTATTTCTTATTTGATATTATTTTAAATTGAAAAGAGTTCGTCAAGAAGTTTTTCTAGTTCGATAGTATTATCCGAACCATCCTTGTCTGGGTAGGAAGCTTGAGTAGCTTCCTCGGATTTTGCAATACTGCTCGTATCAATTGATTTTGGTGTGGTAGTTGAAGCACCTGATAATACAATATATTTGCATAGTTAATGTATTTGACTAATATAATTTTTCTTGGCTATAACTTACCAATGCATAAGGCGACTACACTTAACATAAAGTATAAAATAATAAAAAACTTCATTTTAACCGCAATTCAATTGTTTTATTAACTCTGAATTTTATATATAAAATGATGAGTATATATGGCTCACTAGTTGATTTTATAGTTTGCCACTGACTTATTCAAAGAAGAAAATCAGGTTTATATTCGATTTATTGGATGTAATTATTACATTCAGATATGAGAGTTGTTCACTTACACACTTTCGAAATTAAAATTAATAAAATTTAAAATTAAAATAATTTAATACAAAAAAAAAAAATTGCATTAATATGAACACATTTTCATATTAATAACATTGTGGTTAGATATGAATATTTAATTTGTAAGGTATGTGTTATAATGAAATATAACAGGAATTGCCATATATAGTGGTGCTGTTTATTTTGTTCTAATTATTTGATATAAGAACTATTCAGAGAACATAAGAGTATTCGGATTTGCATCGAATATATCGAATGTTTCGAACAATTTGAATTAATCGACATCAATCTATATGAATAGTTTATACGTTTTGAACTATTCGAATAGTTTGATTTTTCGGTGTTATATGATTTTCTGAGCATTTTAAAGTTAAGAGAGAGGGCAGTTTTACTTTTTAAGTTCTTTATAAAGCCACACGGAGTTCTGGTTTTTTCGCGATATATTACTTGTTCCTGCTTTGAAATTATTTCAATAGATTTATGTGCTCTATGAAACCACATGAATGTCTGTTTTTTTTTTCTAAAATATATTATTAAATAAAATAGTGCAAATACAACTCTGTAAATATTAGTTGAAATACACATATACTAAATAAAGAGTGTAAATAAGAGACGTATATGCTAATCTCATCCTGGAGTTCTTCCAAAAATGGAAAAAATTAACAATGAGAAAACTAAAGCCCTATTGACATGCTAAGAGAACTTAAAACAGATTCGGTCAAAAAATACATAAGGGAAAGACCTCTGAAGGTATATGCGAAAACCGACAGGCTGTCCTACTTAGCACTTACTAATCTCAGAGTAATCACTAACCGCTCGTGGCGGTACGCAGGTCTTAGATAAGTCATTGAATAATTACGAAGATTATGAGGAATACTCAAATTAGTCATTGAGATGGGTGGGACTCTGCAGAAACTCTTCAGCTATCCATATGCACTAACTTGGAAAAGGCTCAACATTACAATACATTACATACATTTATATAATTTATATAGATTACATAGTATAATATAGTGTCAGGTGTGACAGAGAGCGTAAGTCAAACTCACAAGTGAAAATATAAGAAGTCATGCCATGAAACAATACTACTTAATTATATTTTATGAATGATGTATAAATATATTAAAGTTCTTTGTTTTGATAAATATTACTTTCTCTTTTTTAAATTTATTAAAAATAAAGTATTCAAGTTTTATTAATTAACGTCTACCT